TTTAATAATAAATTTCCACTCGCGAAGTTTATTAACTAATTATAATTAAATATTAAGATACTGCACGCTGCTCATCCTGGTGCTGAACCCTTTCCGATACGCCATTTGTTTGCGTCGATTGCGATCCACCATTGGCCTTGTTGATTGAGTTGCTTCGTTCGGGTCTCCCTGGTATTGATTTCGACCGGACGCTCAAATGTGGTTGGATTGTGACGACTCCGACGCCCTATGATGCAGCACTCGCTGACTGACTTGATTCTGTTCCTCTTCATGGTGAGCCCGACTCGCCCGCGGCACGTATACCACATGGTTTGTTTGCGCCACGTCAGACAACCTATCATGCTGCGCTGACTGGACAGCTGGGTTGTGCTGTTGGGATTCCGCTTGGCTCTACCCAGAGCGGTCGGAGTCCGCACCCGGTGTTCCACCCGACGACATGTGGGCCTCAACCTGGGATTTCCATTTCTCGAGACTATTTACGCGTTGCAGTAGGTCTTGTTGCTGCTGGTATGTAAGGCGAACCACTTTTCGCATTTCCGCTTGGAATAATGCTTCCTGCTCTCTTCTAGCCGTCGGGAAAAGCTGCTGTTGGGCGATTGCATTTTGAACAGCTATAGCTCGCTGTGGTGCCAAGGCTCGCTGTGATAGAACGAAAAGGTCTGAAAGGGCCAGTTACAAATATAATACTATGATTCTACGATTAGAGGAATTAGCATATTATATTGCATTCCGTCTCACCAATGCGAGACTCCTAATGTACTCCTCGATTCCCTACCACTTCAAGTGTACTGTGCTGGAGAGTCTGTTTCCAGTATCCGTCGAGCCCCTGCCTGTGTATTTGTTCGTCAAGAGACGAAGGGCAAGATGGTGGATGTTCCCCTCGCGCGCAAAAGTGTGAAGCGGACTGCGAACAGACACAGCCTGCTTCTGAACAACGCCAGCCACTACCACAATATATATGGCCGTATTGATCTCACGGATATGCTGCGCCATTTGGAAGACAGACTTTCCGGTATCAATGACTGAATCTACAAGTATGACAGCATTTTTGTCTTTCAAATGTGTTTCCTCAATTTCCGCCACACAACGAGCGTGTAGGAACATCGCATTCGGGAATGCATCACTGACCCCGAAGGCCATTGGCTCCCCTCCCCGCTTCAGTGCTTTTATTACTGTCCTCGACTCTTGGAAGAGCTCGAACCCGTGTATGCCCCTGAACGTGAGGTATCTGAACTGTCTCGAGGCCTAGTAGGTCAGACAGGTGGGTTATTGATAAGTAGTATCCAACGCGTCGATGCGCTTCTCTGAGAAGAGGACCACTAATTCTGGCATTCACCGGAGCCGTCGCTAATAGCTTCGCTGCGTTTGTATCTGTACTGTAGAGCACACGGAATCGAAAGTCAATTGGGCTCATCAGTAACTCCAGTCGAACTGTAGGAAGCCTTTCGGCGTCTAGGCGTGATGGTATCCCTTCCGGTAGGAGTAATTGGCGCGCGCGCAGTCGACCGCTATCGATAGCAGTTGCTAGTTCAGTCTCCATTGATTGGCTTCTGGTGCTAACGTCCCCCACAGCAACAATAGCTTCATCGGCTCTGCTCAGCATGTCGATATCGAGCGGGCTATCACCGAAAGCCCAGACATACGTGCAGTACACTTCTTTGAGACGGTCTACTATTGCCCCCTTCACACCAGGAGTGACAGCGATACCATCTGAAATGCGACCACCTCCGATGACGACGACCTTGTGAGAGAGACCAATCTTATCGTGAATCTTAGTCCGCACTGCACCGATATCTCTTTAGATCGGGCATGGCGTAGTAACGAAAGCATTTCGGGATATAATTCGACTGAAGACGCCACGCGCGTACATATTTCTTCAAATTCGTCGTCGTCAAACGACTGCTCATAGAGCAATGATACCTGGCGAAACGCGGCATATGAGTATCTCAGATGGCTGCTGAAGATAGCCTTTATCACATCGTGTGGATCTCGTCGTGCTTTTGAAAGCCCGACAAAGGTTTTCATTCCAACAACATCCTCCGATGACACCAGACAGAACAGGGTACTGTGGACGTAGCAAAGCTGATGCAAAGACGTTTTTCTGATTCTTTCGATGGCCTGCTTGCGCCAGCAGGCTTTCCCTCTAGCGACTGGAATGACTCAAGTCCACCAGGTACGATATCGGCAATAACAGCGGAGCCTTCATGGTAGTCGAATAACTATTCACCCAATTCTCGTTTCAGTAGTTCGAGTACAAATGATTTTCCCACCCCTGATATTCCACAAACACCAGTAACCACCGCTTTTTGAGCTTCACAATGGCTGCTGCCCTCGCGTGAACAATGGGTAGTGTTATTCATTGTCGGCTCGTATGAGTCAGTAGGGGCCTTCTGAGACAAGTTTGGTCAATTGTGGACTATCCAAAGTCGTCTATGAAGAGTGACTACATATGCTATCGCAAAGAGCGATACTGGCATATGAATGAACTAAGTCGGGGAGAATGGGTCCCTCTCTTGACGGATGTATATTTGAGCTTTCAAGACAACGGTACAATGCTACCCACGATACTCCGTTAACAGTGGCCTGAAACCGCTGTTTGCCTTCAGTATGATCCACTTTGTGCCTGAAAGACATAATCGCTCCACGTCCTCTGCACCAGTACAACACCTCGAGAATTTCCGGGAAGAGCACTGTTGTCTGCAAAGTCTCGTTGATTCAGGTGCTGCTCAATGATAAGAGCTCACACTCGTGGCAGAGCAGATTCAGCGCGCTTTAGCCTGTAAAATAGTCGGTATTGCGCCAAATTTGGATGGGTTACAAAGTAGTACGCGGAATCTGATAGGCCCTTTTGTCGATATGTGCCATCACCAGAAATGTAAGGGGCATTCATTAAGTCTAACATATCATGGAGTATTGTGATATCAATTTCTGCATGCAGCCGGTCTCCCGTGAAAGCCTCTTACAATTCCCTTGTCATGAGGAAATATTGAGGACAATAGATTATAACATGGCGTGTTACCGCCTTCAATATGATAAAATGATGTGATAGCCAGCTTGTTCTGGGTCGGGCAAAAAAGTACGACCTACGCATTTATCTATAGAAACGGGGATGGGCGGGGTTAGCCAATAAATTGGACTTAATCGTAGTACCGGTTTATCAAGAATTTTTAGTGTCTACTCTGGGAAACATAACTAGATCTACAGATCAAATAATGATAAGGAAAGGTCAAGGACTACATGAAAAATAAAGGCTACATAGATAATCCACGCTTTCCTATTTCTTGACACTGTACCAAGCTAACCCGCATTTGATGCTATCTTGTTATTCGCCAGACAAACTGAGTCCAGATTAATCTGCTATAGCTAATGGACTAGTAATGTATCAGTAAATGAAATAATTAATTCCTATCGGTAAGTTGTGGTGCAATTGTCGCATCTATAAGGTCTATGGTTTCTAACATATCCGATGGGGTACAAAATGAATATGATGTTGCTATGTCCCTGGATTTGGGGATCTCCCAGGGAGCCTGGGCACGCAAGAGACATCAAGTAATAAAAATAAATATACCAGAACACCGCTACTGTTTCTGCTGCGGCACATCGCCTCATAGGAGAACGATTCGGCAGTCATACTACAGCATATACAAATAAACAGAGAGATAATGAGAAAAACGAGAAGAGCCTCTTATGTCGAAAAATCTACCCAGGCAGAACGGACTCCATTTCTGGCCAGCATAGTCTCCATCCACCGTTAATCATGGCTATACCAGCGTAAAAAGAAGGCTGATTGTTACTACACATATTGTGAGCATTGGTTGCGTCAGCTGAAGGGTCAGACATTGCATAGAGATACATCCTAACCATTACGTTGGACCACGCCAATAGTGCAGACCATGTACAAGAAACCGAAAGAAGGAATTGTCATACATGTCTTGAGATCTGTAATCTTAGTGTGGGTTGTTACAGCTATATACAGTAAGCACATATCGCTTGCGTTTGAAGCATAAGTTAGGGCCTGATGGGCAAAAAACTCACATCGTCCGGAAACACCCTTTCTGTCCCTTGGGTTCCTTCCTGGTGTTGAAGCTGATTAAAGCAGTTTTTGTAAGCCAGATTGTGCGGGCCACCGGAATTCGAAGTAGGGTCATTCATCCATCTGGGACATTCCACAGCTGGTTGACAGCGGGTTCAGCGGCATAGACATCCGCAAGTGACACGGGTTCACAGAAATGCGGGCACGGGAATTCTTGGCCAGGCGATGTTGGGTTGACAGCTCGTGTAACTCCCCAGGCAACAGGCATCTACCCTCACAGCTTGAGAGCTCATCCTACCCTATATCAGGAATAGTCAAGCGCTGATAAAGCTGGAAGCTAACAAGCCATCGAAGCTTGGCTCCCCTCATTTACGGCCGAAACCTGGGTAATCATAGCTCTAGTATTAAGGAAGAAATGTTGCCCTAGTAATGTACTTTGCCATTAGACTGGATAATGGAGGTGAGAAGCCCTTAGACCAGAATTCTAATGTGGGTTCATTCTTGGACTTATACGACAATATTCCGCTCCTCCAGACCATCTAGGGCCGAGCCCAGGTCAGAGTTGATGAAGCAGTACCTTGATCATGCAAATTTTTGGCGTATTCTCGTAGCCTTGGCTGCTATTTTGGACCTCAGTTGACCTTGTTATATCGTTGCTTTCACTATGGCTGAAAAATGAAGCCGATATTATGTAGTGGGCGGCTCAAGCTTCTGGCCTACCCGCCAATGAAAATGCAGTGTATTCAAGCCTGCCCGTACTCAGGTCTTATAATCGACCGGTTGACGTACGAAAAGCATGTGATTGCTTGAATTCTACGGCATAAAAAAAGAGGTTACTCTCTCGAATTGGTGGCGCGCGTGGCGGGCCTAGCTATGGGTTCCGTTTGCGGAAATGGAATGCTGATGTACATCAGTGCACATTCAGAATATAATTTAAGCGAATGATCTATACATATCAGTAAGGGATATGTCAGCCAGGCTCTGAGAGAAAGTGGACGCAAACCACGTGAAGGCTTTACTGGATTGTGCAGACGCATCTCGAAAGCCCCATAGCGACGCACCAGAGCGCCCGCAAGAACAGAAACAAATAACCATTACCACCACAAGGCCCCACCACATGCCCCTAGGCGAGGCTTAAAGTTTGCCCACGCGAAGAGGCTTCATGCACAATAAAGGCACAAGGGGTAGAGATGGTTGTAGATAGCCAGCATATCACTTTACTTTGCGAGTGGCCGGGAGGATTTCAGAAATTTTCTATTCATCTAAGTATATACATGAGTCTCAATCCCTCTTTTGTCACTTCCCAGGATGGAGCGTGTCTAGGCCGTCGGCAATCAGCACAATAATGGGTGACAACACATGGATAGGCTCTCGTGTTTGATGTGTGCTACGACGGTCCATGATGGCTTCTTAATTTGGGATTGTCGCGTCAATGGTCGCTTGTACCATTGCAATGAAGCTCATGGGATGTTGAAAGTCTCGTTTATAGAACGAATTTATGGGAATCAGGCAATTCTGGCGATCCATATAAAGGTAATGCGGAATTTATGGGCCAGAGACTCATCAATTTCGGCCAAAAGCTCTTGGGCAGCTAGAACAGTCCAATGATCATAGTTACGATTTTGACTTAGCCGATGGTTCTTCGCAAAGGGGAGGTCACCATATTGAATATGATTCAAAGCCGAGAAGTGGGCTCAATGTTATGAGCATTACAAATTCTCCCACAGTCAACTGCGTTGAATTTCAACACTCTGCATAATGGGATCCGTTATCAGTGCTGCAGTTACTGTGGGTGTGGAACCTATCCGACTTATCCGACTGTTGAATTGATGGCTTGATAGTCGCTCTGTTGCAAATTTCCTGCTTTGGAAGTCGCGCTCATAACCCACCCTTTTCCCGAATAGATTATCGAAATCAATAACGTCTTTGTTATTGCAGACGAAGATTGGGGAGCAGTAATGACAAAATTTTGATTACTTCTCAATCCCGGCACAAGGACCGCGTCAGATATGGGCAGCGAATAATGTTGGCTTCCAATATATCGGGCAGCAAGCTTAGCGCTAGGAGGGGCAGAAAGGTTTCCAGAGAGGCTGGAGACTCTCCTTCATCCATAGGGTCAGCATCGACAAAGCCAACTGCTCAATTAGATTCCAGGGTTTTGATTATCATAGCTTTGGCAAGTGGCGTGAAATTGCCACTCTTGGACAGCCCCAATTACAGTTTCCAGTCACGCCTTGACGCCAGAGATTTCATCCTCTCAATCGTCAAAGAAGGACTGGGGAGACTAGTGACTGCTCACACGGAACCAAGACGTGTACCAACTCAGTAAATCCTTCCTCTTTCAGACTCAGACTGGGTTAGACTGTTATGGTCGAGTCACACTTTTGATCCGAAGAAAATCATGATAAGATGACTATACGCTCGAAATCCCAGCCCATTCGAGGACTTGATAGACGCAAGTTTTGACGAAGTCTCTTTATCGACGCTCATTGACTATGCGCTCAGACCCTTTATATAAAGCATCAAGGTGCTATCTTCGACTGCCAGGATCCCTCTAACGAATTTCTAGCCCATCAAGCCAAAGACTCCCAGACTTACAGCGTAGGAAAGCATATCCAGGAACAACTTCTGCGTGGAGAGATTGCTTCATTAGATAAGATCAACACTCGATATTGCGAGGACAAGACAGCTCAGGATGCTTACCGCCATTATGTGAAAAATTTGGATGGGTGCAAGATAACCCCAAAGATCCAAAAGCCCTTATATCAATGGTTACATTGCTGAAGTTGAACACAAACATCCTGTTTGGGTTAGATTTAGTTGACTATATACCATCGTGCAGACGATTCCTCAGTAGCGCAGCACAAGAGGAACAGAATACATCGTTATTAGCCGGGGCTTGGTGCTTTGAGTCCTTGTGTGTTTAATAACATGACTGGAACTACAACTTACTTTTCATCCAACGCTATTCGCCATGCTTGCCAGCTTCGCACTGATCAATGAGTTGCAAAGCCCTATCAATGCCGAGCCTCGACAATACAATGCTTGGATTTGAGTGAGCCAATTATTTTGGGAAAGCTAAGCTGGCAAGGGATACGGAGCATCAGGAATCGCTGTTAGTGCGGCTGATGTCAAGCAGAGGAGAGAGCGGGTGGCAAATGAAGGTTGCTAGGCGTCACTTTATGTTAAAGTAAATATAGTACAAATAGCAAATACTCTACTACAGCCATAGCTAACATGACTAATAAGAGAACACGACGCCATATTACTAGCCCCACTGCAATGAATTACTTGTAACAGAGATTATTAGCGGGAGCCTACGCAATAAGTAGCTGGTAAGTTCATTTTTGCAGACAAACAACCATACTTTCGTTCAAGGCATTTTTCACCAGTACGTTGATCTGTTAAAGTCCTCTGAGGCGGAAACCTTACGCGCACAAGCATTTGCCGCGAAGGAAGACGATAGAGGTCCAAAACGAATCATCTTGGTCTTTCCAGTGTATATCCTACTCACCTTCAGTATAGTTCAAGTTCCATTTCCCATCGCGGGGCATACGTGAGGATGGGCCATGAGGGGCACAAGTTCCCTCTACCGTACTGGTGTTGTAAACGTTTGGTGTTTCGTTTTCGGCGCGTCGACGCCAAAGAGCAATAATCGCCTAGTTGAGCTCCCCCTGGCACTCAGTTACAGCCGAACGGTTTCTCTGAGAGTTGCCAGCGGACACCACGTGGAGGTGGGAGGTCGTCGTCCGCCATCGACTGGAGTGTCTTTGGGATTGATGTCAAGGATAGACCTGAGCTTACGTGCCAGCTCCATCTGCTCCGGGAACATGCAAGTCGACGCTAGGAGCTTTGTTACTCCTGGAATCTCCCGTAGAGTTCTCAGAGGCAGGCACGGCCACGGTTTCCTCACGAATCCTACCACAGCCATTGAGAGAATCCGTAGGGAAGGTGTGGGGGAACATCGGGATGGTGGCATTAATGGTGGCGTTTGTGGAAAGTCAAAAATGTACGATACGGAGAACTAACCAAATGCCGCAGTGACAACCCACCAGGTCATTGGAGCGAATTTCCAGTCACGCTTTCTTTTCAGTCGCTGCTAGGTTAGTTAACTACTGCTCATCGACAACACGGGAAATATGCGTGCAATGTCATACCATTTGTCACAAACGAACGCACAAAGTAGTACTATTTCCTTTTTACGAAACCCTCCATGAGATCGGTATCATTGGACGATTTCCCTTCGAAGTTTCATAGGCTGAAGCTCACCTTATTTTGGCCCTTTGCGGGAGTACCTTATGTGGTAGTGGATGACGATTTGGAGAGCATTTCGTGAATAACTACAGGAATGGAACCTCGAACCCGATGATAGGGTGGGAACCAAATGATATTGTTGGGTTGAGAGTAAATTGACATCATTCTGGGATATCTTCGTGCTGGAGGCCGTCTACGTTTCACCACTCTCTCTTTCAGCATCTCCTTTCACCACGCTAAACCCACCCAGTTCAGAAAATCCCCCTCCTCGGTTCTAGCGGGAGGTTTATTTATAGCTCGGACAGCTTTCCAATATTGCTGGTCCTTCATCTTAGGCAACTGCACGTTGAATTCGTGCCATTGTGATGAGTGCTACTCCGTAGTTACTAAGTTTTCTTTCTACAAGATGACGTAACAGCTTCAACAGCTGCACCCCAACGGAAGGTGAATGCAAACGGATTTTTAACATTTCGCTTGGGGTAGGCAACTCAAGGCCTCCATCTTCTACTACCAATACAATTACGTAAATGACAGAACAAGCCTGTGAGCCTATAAATCTCCCGCCCCCTTGGTTTTCCCTGTAAGTCGTAGTTATCTAAATGTTCACTAAATGAACAAGCCGTAATTTGAGGTGCCCTAGTCTTTCTTCAATTTGGTCAAGCTCAACCTTGTGGAAATGTATTCGGAATTTTCATTGAATTTCGACCCTCTTTTACGTTCTCTTAAGTACTACCCTTCCACGCCAAATTGCATGGAACGATCATGAGAGACCCCTGGATTTATGGAAATTGGCCTTGAGTTGTTGTTACTTAAGGGTTGAAAGGTCTAGCTCGGTAGGTGGAACCTAGATCCATCAATAATTTAAATCAATCCAGTCCTAGACGAGTCCAAACAACTGCCAGTTCTCCATTGCCCGCCTTATGACCTATCACACGATTTTCACACGATCACGCCCAATTTTCAATGGTACGTTTTACGCGAAAGCAGCAACTCGACTTGTCCTGCTTGCACTGAAATCTCACAGGAGGCCAGCTCCTACGGAACCTTCCATGCCATCATGAATACCATGCGGAATGTATAGATGGCTGGCTGATAAATGTATCAGAATCTTGTCCACTGTGGTACGCCAGGCGTGGATGCTTCAAATGGATCATCAGGGGACTCAATCGATTTAAATTTGCTTATCTTAGCCCTAGGGATTCGTGCAGTACTCGAAGTCTTGAAGAGACTAAGGCGCAGCAAAACCTCCTTATTCAATCTCCACAGACGGTGATCGCGCAGCATCCACAATCGTGCTGGGATTTTAGGCTAGCTTAATCACAGCACAAAAGTTCTACTTAATTAGGTAAATCTGCTGGAGAAATCGGAAGCCTAATCCTGTCTCTCAGAACCCCTGTAGGTGAGACGCCGGATTTGAAGGCGCAAAGCTGCAAACATACTGTGTTCAAGCAAATGAACATTGATACTCTTTGAGCATACATAATATACAGAAAACAGTCACAAACCAGGCCTGGCCCGTATTAATCTTCCCTGAAATGATGGACATCGATAAGAGCTCACCAACGGCAAAGGCTCCGTACGGAAAGGGCTTTCGAAAGGAAGAGGCCGCGGCAGGACTATAATAGCTTTGCGCGATTTGGCGAGTTTAATGAATTCGCGCGAAATTAGCTCATGTGCGCTGACATTGATGTCTGGTTCGACGCCTGCTGTAGAATGAAAGCATCTCGGTGGAGACACTAAGGGCCTCAGATCAGGATCCTAAGAATATGACGTCATGCAGCATTAGTTTTAAAACGGGTCGCACCCATCGCTCTTTGTCTTCTAAATCCAAGTATACAATTCGGTGGCTCCTGTACGATAGCGAAATGGCGTCATACAGTCCCCCGCTATCGCTGGTCATTCTAGGGGCCATTTTCATTGGTCTTGGACTGTTGACTTCTTTGGTTATCATGCTGGATATCTTGTACCGACAGGGCTGGCGATCGATGATGATAGTCATGTGGGTTGGGGTTTGGTTGTGTCCCGTGGTGTACGCGAAACTAGAGTTAATCGTGTGTCGCCAGGATCCCTGTCTACGTGCTGAACGCTCTGTACCTTGCGCCCATTACAGTCTGGACATACTATAACTATGGTCGACCTCCGCCACCTTCGCCAAAACCCGGATCAAAGGAGGAACAGGCCCACACCCAGTACGTATTTCCCTTCAAGTACGGGTTAGACAGATACTCTTACTGATTACGTTTTCAAATTGCAGGGCAGAAAAGGGCTCTGCTAATGAAGGCGAGGGCGGCAGTCATGGGGGGATGCAGCATAGCCATTGCCATAGCGCTGGTTCATCGAGACCGATGTTTGCAACCGTCACGGTCGCAGTATGCCATTGCGGTGCTGGATGTCTTCTTGGTGATATTGTAGGAGAGTGGCTTGTTTATGGCACTAATGCAACCGTCAGTGGACACCACCTATGGGTCTCATTCTTAGTTGGTATGCTGCTCCGCCGACGCCTACTCAACAATATCCTTGGGTGCTAACTCTTGCAGACTACGGCTTTGCTCTTCTATTTGGCATTGTTTTCCAGTATTTCTCTATTGCTCCCATGCCAGGAGAATATGGCCCAGTCACGATCTGGCGCGCATTGAAGGCAGATTTTTTGTCTTTGACGTCATTCCAAGTGGGCCTCTACGGATGGATGGCTATATATCAAATAGCTGTCTGGAACTTTAGTCTTAAGATGGACAATGTGGTCTATTGGTGGATGATGCAGGTATTTGTGCACAAAATTATGCGGATAATCCGATGCTGATGGACTCTCTGTTAAGGTCGGAATGTTCTTGGGCCACTGGACGGCAGTACCTACGAACTGGCTACTCATCAAGTATAAAGTCAAGGAGCCCTGCGCATAAGCGTCAGTAGCCGTCTATTAACTTGAAGGTTCAGAGTAGCACCTTATCTAGAATGACACATATAAGCTTAGGTAGCCCATGTAACAACAATTTCGCCAAATAAATCATTGCAGGTATTTAGATATTAAGTGCGTGTTACAAGGTAGAAATGCGCTTACTAACAGGACTCAATGTAACTAAGAGAGAACGATGTGGTAAGTGCTACATACAGATCGACAGATATGGATCATGTAACGCCCTATGATTTCCACATCACAAACTGATTCTCCACTGCTCATCTTGCGAGATCATAAGCACCAGATGGAAGACCTGCCAGCGGCAGTAGCAGGGGATGGTAGCAGGCGAGGACGGCCATTTTACTTCTGTAAACTACATAATGGTCAGTCATGTAAAATATCACTTTAAACTATGTCCGGTGTGAGACATATACGTACGCCGAAGGCTTTGCAGCCACATCTGTTGCCGCAGCCGCAATTCTGGGCAACGGTGCAGTTACAGGTGGATCCACAATCGCACGCTTTCCAATTTCGTTCCGTACTGCCAGCACCGTCAGCGTCGCGACTGAAATACTAGAGTACTACAACCATCGAAACACTCATCATCCATCGTTTATGGTATCATGGGCTGTGGTCGGAGTCGTCTGTCGCTCTTATATGGCAGGGCTTGCAGGTATGTGGTGATCTCATCTTTCATCAGCAGGATGGAACTGTCCATTACGGGGCATTTGTGCGTTTATGGAGGCGTCATCTAGGCGTCATAAACCTCCTACACCAATTAGGCACCTCGGCCTGCCGGGTACCGTACGTAGTTTCTAGGATTGGCGGTTCGTTCTGAGGCGGGTGCGCGCAACTCCCGCCCTGGTCGACCGCTTATTCCCCAATCTGAGATCTAGCTTTGAGTACTTGTCACGCCTCGTCGGTTGGAAGTTTCTACAGGGGTTCATCGGGCGATCAGCCAATGTTTGCCACCTCTCTCGCCGCCTTCCTTATATGAACATACAGTCGTTAGTTAATTGATCGATTAGTTGAATCGATGAACAGCGCAACATCGCTTCCATGAGCGGCCAAGCCTCCGGTGGTAGCTTTCAGCCCGGCGAAGAACGGGCCCGGGAAGCCGGCCACAAGGGTGAATGTCATTCGGAGGCAGCTTCAAGCCTGGAGATCCTCGGGCTAGGGAGGCTGGTCGGAATGGAGGATCGAGGACTGGTGGGGATATGCAGGAGGAGTAATTTTCTACAAAATACTATTATTACACTATGGTCGACCGCGGCAAGGAAGGGATCGTTATGTGATATGAATCGAGTGTATTATTAGTCATGTATGGGGATAAGTTGTAATATATTCAACGGTCGGACGGCCCATCTGCTATCCCGTATAAAAGATACCTTTTTGTTCCATTATATCTCAACTAAATCAAGCTTTGGGAAGCTCTAACTCTGTATATATATTATATATATAAGGGTAAATATTTTATAATATTTTTCAGATTTTTGAAGAATTTGTGTAAACCGAATGGTCTAGTTATTATGTGATACAGACAAATTACAGGTATTTTATATATATATAGCTATGAGGTTCCTTGAAAGAGCCCTGAAGGTTCTCTATGCTACTTAGAATTTATATATCAAAAATCAAGTCTTCTGGACTTCTAATGGTTGAGATACCTTGAGTTAAAAAGATGGCTTTTCGTATAGTATTACAGGATGGGCCGTTCAACCGTTGATTACGTAATTCATCGTGGGATTGATATATTCAGTTACTATTTCGTTTCCATTGATAATGGGTTTCGCGGCATGGTATGATACTTGCGTTGTAATTATAGGATAGCGAATGTCATTGTGGTTCTGATTGAGTAAGTGGTGGTCCTACGCGAATGCCATTGGCCATTCAATTAGTTACTATCAAAGATCATGACGAGAATGGGTATTTATAAACCGATTTATCTCGTAACGTATTACATGGCAGCATGATGTGATCCAGTAGTAGACTGAAGTTTACTTTTGCCCCCGTCAAAATCCCTCTCGCCACGTTAGACACAGGAATATCGTCAAGGACATGCTAGCTACCACCATCGTCAATCGTATCCATAATCTAGCTCGAACACAGTATTTATTAACTATCTTAGAAATATGTAACTCTGAGAAAGTCTTGAAGAGAGAAAGGTAGAGAGGAGAAGGAGGAAGGAAAGAGAAAGAAGACGTTAGAAGAAGTAGAAGATAGGGACGTAGAGAACTGGGGTAAGAAAACAAAAATATCCACAACGCCTCACATCATATTGACATAAACAAAACCATCGCAGTGTACAGACCATCGACGATCCCTGGATTTAGATCTTCACTCGGAATCTTTCTCCCCCTCTGTTACTGGACCATCCGCGGCAGCCGGAAGCTGCACCAGATCCTCAAGATCCATTGCCATATCCTGCACCTGCTTGGGACTCTCCGTCGGAGGTAATGACTCTTTCTTCTCCTCGGGACTCTGGGCCACTGTACTAGCCTTATCAGGAAGCTGCTTCACCATTTTTGCCAAATGGCACTTAATCCTCTCATCTCCACAGTGGAAATGTCGCAGCGGCTCGTTCTTAAGGTTCAAGACCTCGCTTCGCAGGTGATCCGCTTGGCTTTCCAAGAGCTTATTCTCCCGCGAAACCGTCTCGCAGCGACTCTCCAGCTGCTTAACATGCTCCCGGTATCACGATGATGACGGGGACCCTGCTGTGTGTTCACGCCACTAAGAAAGGAAAACTCCCGTGTGCTTCCCAGAGGTTGGCCCGAGTTGCCATGTACAGTACTATACGATTGGGTTTGATCAGGTCTTATCGCACCCCTATTTGCCTGTCTCTATCCAGTCTTTGCTTGGCGTTGGGAGTATCAAGACCAAGGTGCGTTTACGACTGGAAGTTCTGTGGCCATCAGTTATCTGGAATGCTACCACCCCTAGTTGATGCGTCATTCACAGAAGCTCTCCATCGCGAGTTCCGCTACGAAGTGACTCGTAAGACCAGATCTACGTGTTCACTGTGGGTGCCATCGTTCCTCGAACTTGTTTACTTATCTTTACCCTCCGTTTCGGTCGTACATTTGGTATAGCTGATTGTGTTCCGTATTGCTTCTTCTACTTAACGTATTAGGTACGAGTAAAACATGGAGTATTGTCCCTATATTTCTTTTTGCTAAGCTCATGATCAGCCTAATGAGCGCTATTCCGCATGCCTTGGGAGCCCAGCGGAAAGGTACTTACATCTCTATCAGACATGGGGATCGCCTCGACTCTCACTCTGACTACTTCCAGGCAGTCCATCGCAACTCCGGTCTCCGCAAGCACAATACCAACGAGAGGCAATTCCGCGATTTCGTAAACTGTAACATGAGTTTCATTCAACAAAGCGCATTAACAGTACACCTACGGACGTATACAGGAGAGGAGCCCTTTACCCGTAGCTATTAAGGATGACACAGCGCCTTCTCTGATGTAGTATCTATCCTGCTATACTACCGCGAGAGGCTCTAATACCAACAATCGTTAGTCTCTTAATCTGGCCCGCCATGGCTGGATCCACATGTATGAACGAGCATACATGCCGGGAGCCACCTCGTAAGTGGAGGGCATTATGATAATATTTTTGGCGTAAACAGAAGTCTCTCTAAAGTGGACCCGAAACTTCCGTGCTAAAGCGACCCTCACGAACCGCGAACGCCGCCGTCATGGACTGAAATCAGTGTAACGGACACCATGGGAAGCCACAGGGCTCTGTAGAGTCATACTTTATCCACATTACCGCCCCGCTTCCATTAAACGATCGGTACTTCCCCCAACAGAGGTATGACCCCAGCATCGCCACCACGACCCATGGGTCCACCTACTACCGCAACCTATAATGACACTGGTCGCTGGCTGCCCAAGAGCAAACGCCAGTTGTGCCATATGATAGCTTAGTGATCTCGTCATTTGGGGTGTAGCACGCGCAACAACCCCCTCTTACCGTCTTATACACCACGAGTAGTATCATGGCCGATGATCCGGAAGCGGCAATATTCAAATTTGCATCAACTACTGTCCCGTACGGTCGCGTATTGTCTAGATTCTGTCAGTTGCAGAAATACGCTAGATTTCGCTGTTGCAGTAAACTTGCTGTTAGTAGGCCGTATAGCTTTTTCCTGTATGTTTATTGCGCACGTTCGAGAAATGGAGAAAACGGACAACAATTTTCACTTCTTCCAGATTGTCGATGGCCGTCTCTGTTACTTACACGAAGAATTACGTGAGAATATTTTGATCAAGCCAGCTCGGCTCGAGGTTGCGATAGAGAGCGGGAGGATGCATGAGAGTGTGTGGCAAGATATGTCTGGCCCGCATAACTCGAGCTAGGATGGAATGAAACCTCGCTGTTGCTGCGATGTAGCATATGCTTTTCCGCTAAGACGCACAGCGTGACCCGCCCTCACTGCGAAAAGCTCGTTCCCAGACTTACGCGGAGTATCCGGTGTTTATGAATGCCAAGTGGCGGCCTTCGGGCGAATAGCCGCCGAAACCGTTGCTTTCGGCATCTCATAGATTTTGTAACACGAATAGCAGCATCAACCCCTCCAAATTTTATCGGGTCCGATTTATAAGCGGTATGCACGCAAAACCCCGCACGGCGCACAGAACAAGTTAAGGGTAATCTCTGCTGCGTAAATGCTGAGCGCTTGTTGAAAAGTGTAGCGCTTGGATCTTAAGAGTAGAGAGCCGACGAAGAACATTGTTGGGGTCGTGTAACCCCTACAACGCAGGCGACATTGCCGACGAGGAAACATTTAGAATATTCTCGAAGATTTAATATATGAAGGGAGGTGAAAAGGCAATCAAGTATACAGAGGAGACAGGTTATTATTTCTCAAGGACTCCGTATCATTTCCTACACAAAGGAGGGCCCCCCTCCCAATTGACGCAAGCAAATCCCCAATATAAGACATGCCGCTTGAGCAATGTATGCGACGAAGCGTATTTCATGCCATGCACCAGACGCCCAATAGCTTGAAAGCCAACTGAGAAAGAAAATATCTTCCGTTTCAGGACAAAGCGAGGCTCAGTCGAAACTAAATACTTGTGGATGGCAAAAGAAAACAAAGAGCGCTGCATATCTGTGGGCGGGCAGGATTAGTAGCTTAATTTGACCTCGAGGGCTGGACTGAGATTTCCTGGTCTCGTAGCTGCGGCCTTTCCAAATGACAATGCTTCGGACACTCCGACAATTGTCCTGGCCGTCAGGAAGCTCGCGCAGATCATCATCAACCATTAGTTTGAGGCCATTTTGCTTGACGTGGAGGACTCGCACTATACGCTGGGGATCGATGCGCTGTTTCATGGAAATCTTCTCCATCAGATCGCGAACCGTCCGCTCAGTCAGATAGACGGCCCTGTAATAGTCATCCGAAAGCCGATCGTTACCAATAAATCGTATGTAGAAACAAGCGACTAGGACGATGTCAGTTCGCCTGTCTTTGATGTTACCAAATCAATAACTTACTTGAAACTATTGGTCGCTTCGCCGGTGGTTGATAGGTTGGGTCGATATCTACCGCCTCTATGTATCCCATTTTGGCGCTACTAGTGGCTGGAGTGACTTTCGGTACTTTGATGGGATGCTTTAACGTGACCTTGCCGTCCAGACTTCAGAACATGACAGTGAATCCTCTTGGGCGGTGGTCAATGACCCATGGTACCCTGAGCCATAAAACATACTCGACTGCATATTGGTCGGAAGGCATGGCGAGCTCATGGAGATGCTACTTCTAGTAGGTGAAACGGCGTGCAGAGGCGCACAATTAAGACTGGAACGGAGCCTGCTACTATCCTCTCGTTCGACGAAATCAAGCGACTCGGGCAGCATGACAGAGTACAAGTCCGGGTCGTCTTGGTCTTCACCCCGCAACCCTACGACGCTTACCGACCGCGTTGACGTGGACATATCTTGCATCAAGGCAAGCTTCGCATGGAGAAGGGCTTCCAAAGGCATCTTGCCAGGGCCGTTCTGCGAGCCCGCGCACCATGTCCGTGTATGCTTGGTGATTTTGGCTGGGCGGGGATTCGCGCCCTTGCGCGCCACCGAGCCATTGCTACGCTTACGCTTGCCGTAGTTATCGGCGCCCATCCCAGCCTGGGCAATCTGTTGTCGAAGCTTTTCCATGGCCTTATTGACATGAGCGACATCAGTGCCATCACCAGCGTACTGGCATTGCTGCACCTCCTCTTCGAACCGTACTCGGCATTTTCTTCGCTTGTTCCATGATAGGTGTGGATTAAGGATGATCTTAATTGAGAAATCGTCAGCACTACCGTGGTGGGAGCAATGTGTATCCCTCGTCTCACTTACACTAGGGACAGAGTGAATGGCTACGCTCCAGAATCGGCCAAGAAGAGACTTTCCGTTCGTAGAACCGCCGGATGTTGCGGGGAAGTCTGTGATTTCCCAAATGCTCGGTTTTCTCTTCCAGGATGGCTTCCTAGAGGCTTGGGTTAAGGAAATTTCGTTCAGCGTCGGGCTGGGGCTTCCGCTAGGCACTAATGGGCCGTATAACCAGGTAATGTCACTATCTTTGTCCCTGTACCAGGTGAGAATCTTCACAACGAGGTAAGACGGGAATGGAATCGGGACTTGCCAAGAGATAAAGGCCGCTGGCATGGGTATGGTCTGTCGGGTTGATGCAAACCATGTTCTCCAAAGAGCGTTTTCGAAGCGATGCCTGACGTGACTGTCCTTGTTCATTTGGCAAATGTGTTTCCTGGTGGCCCACAACTCCTCGTCTTTCCAGGAATGTGCGAGATAGTCCACATTGACTTTGGCAACCTCTTCAATTATGGAATCATCGCGAATAGCTCGTGCTCGAGACATGATTGTCTCGAGGCGAATAAGGAGTAAGACGGGGGAGGGAAAACAGGAAGGTGGCAATGGGCTCTGGCAGTTAAGGGTCGTCTTGTTGGTATTCGCCAGGGCTATCAGAGATCAGTACGAAGGTTTTTGAGTGTTTGTTATGTGGGGCATCTGAAGAATGCAAGCCAAGCTGGTCCGGAGCTTTCATTTACTATCTAAATGGCAAACGTCAGGTCCCTCGATGCTTCATCGCGCCATAGTACCGGTTTATACAGCTGATAAGGAATCTCTACACGTCATACACTGTCCCCACTCATGACAGGCACTAGTACACAAGCGTGCATATAATATTAAGCCCTGACTACTCTGGTTGACCCCGGTAGTTTTGTTAGTATGGTGGAGAGGTGCAGGGGGGTGAATCCTTCAAGAGGTGAGTCTTTTAAACTAACACCGCCTGCCTGATATAGCCACGCGTTGAAGTTGAAGCCCACAAATGCGTAAAATATGATGAATTCTGCTATATTTTGGTGTTTTCAAAGATGCCTTTAAATCCTGAACCTACCTCTCCAAAATCAACAAATTCAAAGCGTCTTGATCGTGATGACCGTATCCGTGTTCTTACTCTTCGTGATGCTGGTTTTACATATCAACAAATAGTTGATCAGCTACAGATTAGCTATCGTCAAGTTCAATATACGTGCCAAAATCAACAAGCCACACCCCGAAAAGCAAGAGGCAGTGCACCTAAGCTTTCTGATGAAGAAGTTGATCAGATTATACAATGGATATCGAGTTCAAAACGTACACGTCGGCTGCCATATTATCGTGTTATCGAAGAGCTTGAGCTCTTTGTTGGAGTGACAGCTTTGACACTTTCTTTAAAAAAGAGAGGCTATACACGCTGTAAAGCACTTCGAAAACCACCTCTTTCGTCAGCTACTAAACAAGCAAGGTTAGCCTGGGCTTTTGAACACCTTTACCGGATACGGGATTAATGGAATCGAATACTCTGGACTTATGAAACATGGGTAACTTCAGGCTTTCATAAACGAATATACGTGACTCGCAAGCCTGGTGAAGAGCTTAATGAAACCTGTCTCCGTACAAATTCACCACTTAAGTGTGGTTGGATGTTTTGGGCCTCTTTCTACAGCAATTCTAAAGGACCATGCCTCTTTTGGGAGAAAGAATGGGGGAGTATCAACACTGAAAGCTATATTGAACGGAATGTTCCTATTATTGATGGTTTTGTACGCTTGCTTGAACGCAACGGATATCAACGACTTCAATAATGCAAGATAACGCTCCTGGTCATGCAAGTAAGACCACTATTCAAGAGTTTAATGAGCGTGGGATCTTTCCAATCGTTTGGCCAGCTTTCTCACCAGATCTCAATCCAATTGAAGCTGTTTGGAATTGGATAAAAGACTGGATTGAGCAATACTTCCCCCAGAATGAGCATTTATCATATGATCGACTACGTAAGGTCGTACGAGCTGCATGGGATGCTTTACCAGAGGCATTCTTGAATAATTTGATTGATAGTATGCCTGCAAGGTGCCGGGCAGTGATCAACGCGGAAGGTGGCCATAAGTTACAAAGTATTAATAATCATTAATCATCATATAAACGGCAGAATTGAAAGGATTGGGATCCCTGCACCTCTCCACCATACTAACAAAACTACCGGGGTCAAGCAGAGTAGACTGCATGTGTTTGGGGGGCTTCCTGTTTGCGGAGAATTCGAAACATGGTGCTCAGGGGGCGAGAGTTGCAGTGGCCCCAGCCGCCCGGGTTAGCCGGGCGCCACCAGAACCGACAAAAGCCGTTGCATCGAGGAGAAGAGCTTGCCGCCCACAAGGAACGCGTTCGGCTGCTGAAAATTTCTAGCCCACCAGCTACCGCGTTGGGTGGCCGGAATAGCCAGCCGCCCAATCAGCGCCGAATATTCACATATTAGCAACAATGTGAGATTCCTGAAATCCTTCCTGAGCCCAGCCACATTCTGGTCAGTGACGAACCGCCGTGTCAACTGGTCGCTACAGTACTAGCTACCGGTGTACATGTCATATCTCTTCTAAACTCATAATGTCAGTTGGAAGATGCTCGGCTTTTCCTCTTCTCCGGCTCTCGGCCCGCCCTACCTGGTAGCTGATCCATATCAGGACCTAGCCTCGTGAATGACCCTCAGGTCGTACAGGCAGAGCTATCTGAAGAAAGCAAGGTATCAAGCAGAGAACCCCAAGTGAACGCGTGTATCCTTCCATCGTCTTATCTACCCTATCAATCAATATGCCTTGGTCTCTTGAAACGTCGCTGGGCCTAATTGGCCGCAGGCAAGAACATCCCTTTCTCTTACCGGGAGCCCTACTCTTCACAAAAGCGCCCCTTACATCTCGGATTCAACGCCGCTGGACTTCTTTCTCCACTGGATGGTGCCGAAGTAGATATGCGCTGGGCTTATTACACGGGCCGAGCTTGTGATCCTGAAGACGGCTTGAACGAGCAGACTGTGTCGTTCCATCGATGTTGTCATCGTACCAATGACAAGCCGCCAGGTATGGATTATGCTCCTTTGGATGGGAAGGCGTGTCATTAGAGGACACCCGCGCCTACCATGGCCGTGGCTATGTATCTACATAGTCATTCAGGTACTTTTATTTTTTCTTTCACTCTCGTTCGCTTATTGTTGCTCATGGCTTTCTTGCCCCTCTACCTATTCGAGCTTTTTATCCATAGTATCCCACCTCTTCTGTGCAAAGCATCGAATCTCTTGACCGTTGACGGGCGGGATAAGCTCGTCAGATGCTCGGAGAAATGTCGGGTCGTTGCAGACCAGCTGGCAGATACGCAGCTCCATGGAGAGCATACTGTCTGTGACGACGAAGTTGAGCGGTGGAGGTGCATGGGAAGGGATGGATGAGAAATATCCCGTAGAGTGATGAAACAGAAGAAACCACTGTCTGTGGGGTGACTGTCCGGTTCGTCCACTTAAAACCGACGAGCAATCAGGGGTATCCCTCAAAAAGACCGATTGTTTTTCTGCATGGTAATCCAAGCTGGAGCTATGTGTGGAGAAATGTGCTAGTGTCCCCTCTCTGTATAGGTCATGAAGCCGAGCTTGAAACTGACTACGAGCGTGATCCGGATCTAATGTAGATACTGCCTCCCTTGTCTGGAAAAGGACACGATGTCTACGCTTTGGATTGGCTGGGTCACGGCAGAAGTAATAAGATTCTGAGGCCCGAGAAAATCACATTTGAACTCCACATGCGCTCCGCCGTTCTACGGCATGGCTCAGCCCCGCAGGCCAAGACATCCTCCACCTGATTTTGTTGATTTTGCCGATGATAGCAAGTATGATGAAGAAAGATCTGAGGAAACATCGTACGATGAGGCTGAAGCTGAGTGGGAGAGTATATTAACGGCATTCGACGCATTCAGGAGCGCTCTCGGCCCTCACTTCATGCCTCTGCCTGCCGATAGTGTATCCCCAATACCAACGCCGTTCGGCCCTGCTCTGCAGTACCGGACACATACTATAGCTGTTCTCTGGAGCTATTACTTTGCCGGTCGAATTCTCTTACATCGGTTACATCCATCGATGCCTCCTGCCATGATGGTATCTGCAAAGGTAGCAGCGCCGACTACAGCAGGATACTCGCAAGATATCGGGAGAATTGCGGCCGGGATCTACGACTCACAAAGAATTTACCAAGAAGCTGGGGGTCTGAGCCCAGCACTAGGATCTTGTCTTATCAAGATGACTGTGCCGATTTTCTGTGCCGCCATTCAGTGCACAGACCCGGCGCAACGAGATTGGGTCGTCACAAGGTTGCGCAGCCTTTCCCGCAAGAGTGGTTGGCTAATATCCATTTCCATAGCCAACAGTTGTGAGAATGCGTGGAGGGTTGCTGCGAAGCAAGGTCGTGGTCCTCCTCACGAGCGGAAAGACACGACCGATTACGAACAAGCCTCAAAATGGACGCCACCTGGTAAAGAGAGTTACTTGAGTGACACCGGCGAAAGGCGTTTCGTTGCCGTTGCCAGATGTGCAGCAGCAGCGGGCTGGGCAATGGGACTCCTGAGTTTGGAAGATGACGTACTGAACCTCGAGCTCAAGGATCGGGTATGAGGACTCCATAATGTTCCTGCATCGGCCAACCTGCTCGCTGGCAAGAATCTATCAAGCACAGGCCAATATTCTATGAGCCTGTTTAATAAGTCAGAAGGGTTGTCAGCCAATATCAACACCACCCGACCTGTCACTCCTCTTGACAAAAGCTCTTGGTGCAAGCATGTTTATTCCTTGTCAGCAAGGTGTAGTGTGCGACAGCATGACATCTGGATCGTACTGTCCCCAAACCGTTCGAGACCTCAATGCGGAGCTACCACTATTTATGTCACACTGATGGTTGGTCGCACGAAGTCTCCAACGCGTGATGTACCCACTATGCAGATGATGTCGCCACGACCCTGCATGGGGTCGAACGGGCGCTCAATTGCAAACAGAAACGGTCGAATGCAATGCGCCACTGATCCGCACCACCCCTCCAGAAGGCTGACGGCCATCTCCATGGCGCTCTGGTTGGGTTAAGTCCGTTTTTGAACCACCTAGCGGGGTCTGATTCCTCGCATGGCCTTGCACGTGCATATACATTCACTAGTCAACTGTCAAACGAAGAAGTAATTGCTCCAGAACCCTGATTAGTAATCTTCTAAACTCGGAGAAGTTACTGGTAAGTTTTCTTGTTGTTCCAGGTCTTTTTGACCCATGACTCGTGGTTGCTTTGTTATCGCTGCTATAATGATAATGTTCAGTTGAAGTAGATGTCCAAGTTATCTGATTAGTGTGACTTCTCTTGCACGATAATAACATGCCATAATAATGAATATAGTTCGCGACCACCGAAATTTGATAACCCGCGTTATCACCGTCGCGACGGTGTTATACCCGTACGGAGCTGAACGACAGGTTTTTACTGAGGGTTCGGAGCTCTCACATACATGCCGCTCACTCTTCTTTGCAAGCGGTGATTTCCCTTGTCCTCATCCTTCACATCTTCCTCCAGCTTTCTATAGCTCTCAGTCAGCTCGAAAAACTCGTAGGACATCACTCGGTTTCGCAATGGAAGTAAAGCCTACGGGACTCTGGTTTCAAGACTGGACAATACAGATCAGCGTCTTTCTTGGCGGAGTAGTAGCTGGGCTTGGAATATTGTAGGACAGAGGACGGGTCATACTCGCAAAGTAACGACATGAGATTCCTCTAACCAGTCCTGTCGGTGGGGTGTTCAAGAAGCTTGATTGTGACCACGCTATCGACCTTCCAAGCCCCAGCTCTCTCACTTTCGTTTTTCCCGGTTAACGTACTCTCGTCCGAGACGGCCTGGAAGTCCAGTCTTCTGTCGTCGGGCGGAGACGGTTCCGTGGTGTGAGACATCGGGCCTGATACCTGAATGCGGCTTCTTTCCTGCTGATGCCAGTAGTTTCCGGAGTTCATTCAATCGTGGCAGGTGGGCTTTCATTGTCCGCTGAGGATATGAGTGAGTTCAGGAGGAATGAGATTTTCGTGAAATGTGTGCATACCGCGGAGAGAGGCCCAGCCTGGGGCTCACATGGCACTTTATAAAGGCTGGCTGTCTCGTTGATTCAAAGCAAGATGACACCACGCGCAAGCCCTGCGTGAAACGGTTTACCCAACGCAAGCCCGAAGTTGGAAGGTAACATCGAGGCCATGGTTCTAGGCATGGGCAGACCAGGGACTGACTGTAACCTCTCCGACACTTGTGGCACTCAACGATGACCGACCAGGGACTGGCCAAACCATGTGCAGTCGGGCTATTTTGCCTGCCCGCAACCCAGCACAGTTGGGGCTTGATTCCCTGGCTCGAGTTGTAGGATGGTGAGAAGACGGGTGACTTCGTTCATGGAAACGATACAGATAGATATCATAGAGCAAGGAAACAATGAAGCCATAAACCAATATAGTCTACCTGAATGCGGCCTTCTAACCTCTTGTCGCATGCTACAGAAGAACACAGTATGCCTTCCATACTAAAAGCCGCAAGAGATGTTTTCAACCAAACGAACTGGATCCAGGATTCTTTCCAGATCGATAGTGTTTGACCCTGATAACACTCCTAATCTTCCCCTGGTATCCGGCTCCCGCTCGGCCCTTGGCCACACGAACATCTGAAACCGGTAGTTTGCATGATCAATGGTCCGCATGTATGGACGGAGCTCCTCCCAGATCTGATTGGGGAGCCGCCTGAGGTTGCCGAGGTTGCACTCCACGCGCGGAAGGAAGAATGGTGGGATGGCGACCCAATTGAACGTGCACTTATGGACGACCGCAAGGTGCATTTCTAACCAATCGACGGGGTATGACAGCATGGCACTGGCATACCGGAAGACATCCTCGGGGTGCGTACGCGGTGATAGGATACTGGGCCCATTCCAGGTCAGGTATTCGGGATTCTCATAAGAAGACAAGTAGCAGTCGACGACCACGGTCTCATGTACGTAGGGTAGTTTCTCGTCGCTGCGCTGCAGGTTGATCGTCTCCATGCCAGACAACTCTTCGGCTCCTTCGGGATGTGGTGTGCGAATGTGATGATGGAACCCTTTCACAGGCAGCGTGCCTTCTGGATCTGCGCCTAGTAGGGCCTCCCAATAAGTAGCTGCAGTCTTGGTGGCTTCGGGATCTGAACGTACGCTCTTGTATGATTGATAATGCACGTGTAGGCAGTTCTCGCATGAGAAGGCCCTGAAATCGGCATTGAGAGAAAGCTGGATAGATGGGAGAATTGCCTGTCGTCCACATGCCATTTATAGTGTCTTGGACTGTCGCGCTGGAAGAATCCGCGTCCGAGAGCAGTATGGATTTCTTTGTCCCTTGAAACGCTGAGTTAGGACTGCGGGCCAAATGCGGTGGAACGTGAGTCAAACTATGCCGATTCCCCCGGGGAATCAGCTGGGCAAAATGAAGGGGTATGAAAGACCAGCTGGGAAATTACCGTAAGCAGAGTTTTCTGCCGCGGTTATCTCCAACTACCCATCTACCCATCACGGGCAAATTCCAGATCGACGACCTGCAGGAAGGATAACTCTGATGATGCTAGTATACGGCACAGTATTTGCCAAACTGACCTCAAACCTCTGATCTTGCTCGATACCTTCATAGACATAGTCGCCAAGCGATGGACCCTAGGAAATGAGAGGGAGCTGCTCTGTGGGGGCAACGTGGTCGATTCAAGACCGCGCTGTCAACGGAAGGGCGGTTCTGCTCATTGCGACAATATCAACTGGCCGTATGGCAGTCTGGTCAGTAACAGTAGGGCACGCGCAGACAGCGACCTGACAGAGCCCCGGTCGGGTGTTCTTTGTGCATGCGCCGTCGCATGTTCCAAGGCTGCTCATCGCACGCAGGCGATTGCTCGTGCAACGTTACACGCAAAGCACACCAGAACAGAGCAGCGTCAAGCAGCCATAATGTGAGCTCTGAGGCAGTCGTCGTTGTTCGACCTGCCATGGTCAGCATTCGCAGGACCCCTTGGGGTTATCCAGCCCGGGGCATCTGTTACGTCGGCGCACCGGATGTGCCCGTTTAAGAGTACTCATGGAGCAGCGTGGCTGAACTCCACAACCGATTGAACTACCAACCAACAGATGGACGAGAGACCACAAGACCCGTGATTGTCCAAGCTGAGTGTCCAGACATCGGGCTGGAAAGAGAAGCTGAGACGTACCGATGGATGCCACTGCCATACATGGGATCGGTTGCGCGTAAAGACAAGTGTCTCGTCTTACAAGGCATGTTTGGACTCACTGCATTTAAGGATTACCTTCAATAATGCGAGACGCAACTCACTTTTGATAATCACTTTGCACAAGATTAGTGACGGCTTCGTTGTCGCGACAAGGGGCCGCCCAGGTGTGACACGGCTCGAGGTCGAAGTCGAAAAGTTTGATGTCTGCCCCCGTCTGTGGCTGAACTGCATCCCGGACTTGTTGACGAATCGACTGACGGGCGCACACTATGGTAGACAATCATTAGACTTTGGGTGCATGTTCGACGCGGCCTGTCATAAGTCCCCCTCTCACATTGGTTGTAGGTTCACGCGTATATCGATCGGAGGGAATCACACCTACCGCCGACGACTAGCTTCCCACGACGCTTGCTCAGGTGACCTTGGACGACTTCCCTGGCCACCATTGGCCCTTGACGCAGCTTAATTCGTTCGCCGAACCCGTCGCCAGGGTTAACGGAAGTCCCCTTTCCAAGGTAATACAGACGAAATTCAAGAATCTATCTCAGTCAGGACGGCATTAAGACTGGCCGTAGAGGGTTGTCACATACCTTAAATTCACCGTGGTCGAGGTCCAACAGGTCCTGCATCCAGTCGCTCAGCCAGCATTGGTGGTCTAGGATTTGTCAGTAACTGCGGTATCGGGCAGTGCATCAAGAGACAGCCATACCAAAGTCTTGCATCTGCCACACGATTTGCAGCTTGCGTACCATGGCCCGCCGCTGCTCGCTCGCCTGGACGAGCATGCGGATATAGGGAAGCACTCGCAACATGCCAATGTCCTCTACGATGAACACGATCGTCCCAAACAGAGAAAAGTCGATCGATGGGCCGTATGGCCCCAGCAACAGTGCAGGCTGTCGACGCTGGTGTAGCCATTCGCGGAGGTAGAGTCGTGTACTGAGGCTGGAGGCTCGTGGTCGGGTCAGAACGTACAGGATGCGCGGTCCGGGCGCATCATCCCAGTAAGCGACATAGAAGGGC